CAACTGAGGCACCAACAACTGAGGCTGAATCTCCCACCACCCCAAAACCTGAGGAGACAACCCCTGAGGCAACTGAGGCACCAACAACCGAGGCTGAATCTCCCACCACCCCAAAACCTGAAGACACAACCCCTGAGGCAACAGAGGCACCAACAACTGAGGCTGAATCTCCCACCACCCCAAAACCTGAAGACACAACCCCTGAGGCAACTGAGGCACCAACAACTGAGGCACCAACAACTGAGGCTGAATCTCCCACCACCCCTAAACCTGAAGACACAACCCCTGAGGCAACTGAGGCACCAACAACTGAGGCTGAATCTCCCACCACCCCTAAACCTGAAGACACAACCCCTGAGGCAACTGAGGCACCAACAACTGAGGCTGAAACTCCCACCACCTTAAAACCTGAAGACACAACCCCTGAGGCCACTGAGGCTGAATCTCCCACCACCCCTAAACCTGAACACACAACCCCTGAGGCCACTGAAGCTGAATCTCCCACCACCTTAAAACCTGAAGACACAACCCCTGAGGCAACTGAGGCACCAACAACTGAGGCTGAATCTCCCACCACTCCTAAACCTGAAGACACAACCCCAGAGGAAACCACAATGACGGCAGACTCCCCCACCACCCCTAAACCTGAAGAGACAACCCCAGAGGAGCCAACAACCAAGGCTGATTCCCCTACCACTCCTAAACCTGAAGAAACAACTCCAGAGGAAGCCACAACCAAGGCAGACTCTCCCACCACACCTAAACCTGAAGAGACAACCCCAGAGGAAACAACAACCAAGGCAGACTCCCCCACCACCCTTAAACCTGAGGAGACAACCCCAGAGGAGCCAACAACCAAGGCTGATTCCCCTACCACTCCTAAACCTGAAGAGACAACTCCAGAGGAAGCCACAACCAAGGCAGACTCTCCCACCACTCCCAAACCTGAAGACACAACCCCAGAGGAAACAACAGCCAAGTCAGACTCCCTCACCACTCCCAAGCCTGAGGAGACAACTCCAGAGGAAGCCACAACCAAGGCTGAGAGCCCCTCCACCCCTAAAACAGAGGACACAGTCTCTCCGACCACCCCTGCAGCCCCCAAGGCTGACACCACCGTGGTACAGACAACAACACCCACTGCAGTGACAACCTCTGCCCCCAGATTAGTCTCAACTGCTGACAAAGACACAGCAGCTCCCAGCAGTGCTGCAGCCACTACAGCTGAGAAGGACACTCCCACACCTGGAGCAGACACAATGCTTTCAGATACCACAATGGAGATCAAGGAGGTAACAACACCCAAGAAAGACAGAACTACTCTGCTTAAAGACATTTTAACAGCCACAATTGGGAAAGACTTGGCTACCGTAGCTGTGGTGACAACAGCTAAGCCAGGTGACTCTCCTAAAGGTATGGATGACATTCCAGATGCGGCCAAACAACCTGTCACTGCAGCAGCTGCATCAGAAGCAACAACAGCAGCCACAGCTCCCTTGCCCAAGCCCGCAACCACCAAAGCAGAGTCAACTCCTGAACCCAGCAAGGTGGTAACACCCAGTGAAAAAGAGACAAGTACAGAAGTGGAGCAGGCTGCTGCAGCTCCAGAGAGCACAGGTGCTACTTGTGTGGTGGTGATGACAGCAGCTGGCAAAAAAGAGGTAACAACCACCAAAGAAGTGAGCACCACACCTGGCAGAGAACTGGAACAGGTCACTGAAAAGGCCCCTGGTACTGACAAAGCAGAGGTAACTACAGTTGCCAAAGAAACCACTACCAGGGATAAAAAAGACACGATAGAAGAAATGTATCTTGTTTCTAACGGGACATCCAAGCCAACAATACATTTCCAGGAGGTCACTGAGAGCAGAGAGGAGCCTCATCCAACTGACCCTGAAACTCTGCCTGTGAAAGAACCCGAGATAAACAAGCCTTTAATACCAATTGGGGACCTGCCAATGTTACCTGGAGAAACACAAGGTAATTGCATTCCAGTAGATACAAATCACCAGTAACTCACCAGGACATGGCACTGTCCCAGTGCCCGGCCACAAGCATGGCACTACAGCTGCCACTGTCCTGAATATGGGAACCTCAGTTAAATCAATTCTCTGGGTAGTTTAGAACATGATCTGAATTAGTTGGTTTCAGTAATTGGCCCTGCTGAAAAATGTTTGCTGTAAGTACAATCGAAGATGCAAACAGAGAAAAAGTCAAGGAAAAAAGATGATAAATTTCTTACTAGGGAGTCCGGCTGAATATCTACCACTAATGGAACCTAACCTGGCATTTTGTAGCTGCATCCAAAACATATAAGACATAAGCCAGACAAGATTTTCTTTCCTTGTATTCTCTTTCCTCTGTGCTTTTTACCACAACATTTTTCATGCCCTCACTATTTATTTTAATCAGATATATAGCCTGCAGGTTCTTGGGCATTTTTTTCAGTCATATATTGAAAGATATTTTGGAGGGGGAAAAAAGTGTTTTAGATAGGAAAATACTTGGATTTCTGTCCAAAAGAGCTCATCCTTCCTTTATGTTTAACTGAAAGTAAGTGTAAATGCTTTTTTAAAGAAATAAGGAGAGGGAAGAGAGCTCACTAGAGCAGCTTGGGGAAACATCAAATAAAATCCTGGAGCACGGAGAAATTACATGAGGGCTGTTTGTGGGTATTTTTCTGAATTACGGGTACATAGGTGTGACAAATAAGCAAAGACACCACACGTGGTCACTGGGCACCGCTGGGGCCGCAACACGAGGGCCAAACTTTCCCAGAACACACCTCCAAGCAGTGATTAAACCCTGGCTCCCGGTGGGGGTAAGGGGGGAAATTAATGCAATCCTTGTTGAACATTGAACAAGTCCACCTGCCTGTGTCCTGCAGAGAGGAAGGACGACGAGAAGGACCTGTGCAGCGGGAGGCCGGCGGACGGCATGGTGGCCCTGCCCAACGGCACCCTGGCCGTCTTCCGAGGTGAGGCTGCCCCGGACCTCCTCTTCCCTCACCGTCCCCATCTCTCGTCCTCCTGGTCCTCCTGCTCCTCCTGCTGCTCCTCCTCCTTCACCTGTCCTGGCACGGCCCCCTTCCTCCTCCCCGCCCTCAACCTGTCCCGTGCCAGCCCCTCTTCTTCCTTCTCCTCCTCCCTCACCTGCCCTGGCCCTCCTTCTCCTCCTCTTCCCTCCCCTGGCCCGTCCCCCTTCCTCCTTCTCCCTCACCCGCCCCTGCCCCTGCCCCATCCCTCTTCTTCCTCTTCCTCCGTCACCTGCCGCGTCCCCGTCCCTCATCCTCTTCCCTCACCTGCCCCTGCTCCTGCCCCGTCCCTCTTGTTTCTCCTCCCTTACCTGCCCCTGCCCCCCTTCTCCTCCTCTTCCCTCACCTGCCCCGGCCCCCTTCCTCCTTCTCCCTCACCTGTCCCTGCTCCTGCTTCCCCTTTCCTCCTCCTCCTCCTCCTCTTCCCTCACCTGTCCCGGCTGCTCGAGCCCCTCACGGGCCCGGAGCCGCCCCAGCCGCTGTCCCCAGGGCAGGAGGGCCGTGTCCCCGCGGTGTCCCCGGGGCAGGAGGGCCGTGTCCCCGCGGTGTCCCCAGAGCAGGAGGGCCGTGTCCCCGCGGTGTCCCCAGGGCAGGAGGGCCGTGTCCCCGCGGTGTCCCCAGGGCAGGAGGGCCGTGTCCCCGGGGCAGGACACGCCGTCCCCGCCGCCCCTGACGCCTCTGCCCCCCAGGTCACTACTACTGGCTGCTGAACGGCCGGAGCCCGCCGAGCACCAACCCCCGCCGCATCACCGACGGCTGGGGCATCCCCTCCCCGATCGACTCCGTCTTCTCCAGGTGCAACTGCGATGGGAAAACCTTCTTCATCAAGGTGGGCGCGGGCCCGGCCCGGGGCGGGACTGATGAGGAGCAGCTGCGGGGCTCAGCCTGGAGAAAAGGAGGCTCAGGGGGGACCTTCTGGCTCTGCAACCCCCTGACAGGAGGGGGGAGCCGGGGGGGGTCGGGCTCTGCTGCCAGGGAACAAGGGACAGGAGGAGAGGGAACGGCCTCAAACTGTGCCAGGGGAGGCTCAGGTTGGATATTGGGAAAACTTGGACCCAGATTTGTTCCTAGTATGTTTCCCTCCCTGAGAGAAAATAATGAAATGCCCCCACCTCTTTAAAGATGTTATATAGTCATTTCCCAAGGAATCGTTCAGGCCTGGAATTCAAGCAGCTTGTTATATTAATAAAAATCAGGAGATTTAGAAAACAAATCCCTTTGCTCAGTAACCTCTCTTAAAAATTAGTTTCTAACATACTCTAGCCCAACTCAAATGTTAAAAGACTGCAGAAGGTATTTTATAAAGTAGCAGTAGTTTTTTCCTGTTTGTAATGGATGCAGGAGTGATTCCAGTCAGATTTATAATGTACCTATCAAAGTCCTACTGTTTATTTATGGATTATTCTTCAGGTTTGTGTTGAAGTTCAATAACTAAGAATAATTTTCTCTAAAGCTCATTTTCCCCTTGAATCCTCAGGGCCCCCTGTACTGGCGTTTCACTAATGGAGTTATGGATCCAGGCTATCCCAAACCTCTTGCCAATGGATTTGCAGGGTTAAGTGGGAGAATAGTAGCAACCTTACCTGTGGCAAGATTCAACAACAGACCAGAATCTGTTTATTTTATCAAGAGAGGTATGTCTCCTATCTCTGAAGTCCAGGGATCATGAAAAGGTGCTTGAATTACCTTAGGAATAAAACACCGTTTCTCTTGACCCAAAGACCAATTTCTTTCAAAAACAAAAACATAACTGATGTCAGTGTTCCAGGTGGTCAAAAATAGCTTAAAGATGTAAAAACATTTCTTAGTACTTACAGGTCTTTCAGTGCATTTTAAAACAGGTCTGTACAGGAGAGAATCCAGCACTGCAGTGGCCAAATATTAAAATAAGTTTTACCTGGTGGTAAAACTATTTTAGTCCCAAATTAATTAGAGGAGGGGAGGCTTTAATCTTACTAGTTCATAACTATGTATGGAAATGTCCCTATTTCTTATTTTGTATTTTAAATTAATGTCATTTCCTTCACATACATGAATGCTGTACTACCAGCATAACATTATTTGCTATTGATTTTGTGTGTGTAATATGGATACCAATGACACCTTCATATCTGATCAGTGATTGCTGGGTGTTTCCTGGGGTTTTGTTTTTAAACTAATGAAACAAATGCCTCCTTTAGATGGGAACATGCAGCAGTATGTCTACAGACAAGAACCAGCCAAGAAGTGTCAGAGAAGAGCACGGATTACCATCAGATACCCAGCTTTTGTGCCAAGAGTTGTCATCCGGAGGCGCTTCCAACGTGCCGTGCGGATGCCGACCATCATCCGGACTGTCAGAGTCAACCCGCACCCAACTGGTAACTCATGCTTATTAAGGGTCTGTTATACAACTGTTGTAACCTTAGTAGGTTCTGAAACAACATTCTGTTTCACCTTTTTAAAATGTAGTACTTTAAGATGTTTTTAATGCAGCGGCTCTCGCTGCGGGTGACAAGCACACGGCCGCCACAGCAGACACTGTGACACCTCCTCACTGAGGGTTTCTTTTTGCTTGCAGGAGTTCTGCGCAAGGAAATCCGAATGCAAACCTACTGGAGAGGCCTCCCCAAAGTCATCCACTCAACTCTTTCCATACCCAACCAGAACAAGCCCGATGGTTACGATTACTATGCCTTCTCTTACAGTAAGTTAAAGCTAAAGGACATTGCTATAGATCTCAAAAGACACAGAGATGAGGAAGAAGCCCATGTTATCACTTGTGGTTCTACAAGACTGATTTTAAGCACTACTAAAATGTCCTGAGAATTCAAATGTTGCCTGTAATCAAGAGATGTTTCTAATAAGAATCAATAGTTACAGGACAGAGAGCAGCAATGAAATACAGTGGTTCAAACCAGCCTGATGAGGAATGTATTGCCATGGAGTCCAGGCTTGTAAAGTGACAAAAACCTCAATATTTAAACGCAGAATTATATAAATGATAGACTGAAATCCTTGGATCACCCCACAGCAATACTTTTTTCACTGTCTTCTATGTTTCTGACAAAAGGGAAGGACACGAACCACTTTGCTTCCCAGGAAAGCATTATTTATGATCCCAGATAAGGTAGATTCTTTCTTTGTAGCCAGGATCATGTACAAGCACTCCTCAGAGTGGATTATTCAGGCAAAAAGCTCTAGTATCCTGTATTTGGATAGTTGTTAAAGTCCCTGTCAGGATGATTCAATTCCTCACCTTAACACTCATTCACACTTGGGGACCACAGAGTTCCCACTTTTGTAGTCAGTGCAGGATTGTTTTGTTTTTAGCTTGTTTAATTTCCAAATTCTCAAGATTATTTCTGTGTTCAACCAGTACAAAAGTATTCTTCCCTACTCCTGTTCTTGGGACAGATTTAATTATTAGCAGTACTATAAAACTTAATACATCCCAGGTCTTATAAAAAATAAAGGCGAGAGTAGAAGTTTATTGTTAGAGCCTCCCAACTCCACACATGCACGTGGAATGAAAAATCTGTTATTCGGGCCTAAATGCCATCAAAATGCAGGCTTTAATTTCTGGATTCTTTCCATGTATTAAATGTAGTTTCTGGAATTTAATCCTGACCTCTCTTCCTTCCAGATCGGTACTACAGCTTGGATATTGGCAAAAGAATAGCAAGACCTGTTACTGCTCTCACAGGAAAGACTGTATCCAAAGACTGGTACAACTGTCCCAGCAAGTGATGCACAGCAGAGGATTTTAAAAAAGAGATGCCATTTGAACGTCACCATTTTTTCTAATTTTATTAATAAAAGACAATGAAATGTGTGCACACAACTCTAAGTATGAAATGCTGCTTTAAGCTCTGGCTTCATTACACTAAAGCAACCACAGGCAAACTGGCACTTTGTATACACAGCTGGAATTACTTTACAGATCGTTCAACTAATGTTTCCTCTGTTCAGGCCTCCTCTGCCTCCCATGGCATGAGTTACACCTGTGTTGGGAAAGAAAACAAATGCATTAAAGGAATGAAAGGATTTAATCAGCCATTGTGACAATTCATCCTTCCCTAAGGAACTGCCACTGCAGAGGAGCAGATCCTTTCTGACTGAGGTCAAGTTCCCCTCTCTCCCCTGAGCCTGGTGACACACAGGTCACCTCTGTCATGTAAAAGGGGGGGCTGACTATCCTGTGCTGGGTGCTGAAAGAACCAGCAGAGCATTCTTACCACACCTGAAATCAGCTGTTGTTGTTGTTGTTATTAAAATTATGGTGACAGATGAAAGAAAATCTATCCTAGGCCCACCTCCTCACTTTTTTTTTCCTTTAAAATACCAGCTAAACTATATTTCAGTGCTAAAATTGGGTCTTCTACAATGTTAAAATAATGACAAATGGAATACAATTCATCTAAGGATTTTCTTAATACAGAAGTTGCAAACAAGAACTTATTGTTGTGGTTGAACTCTATTTTGCACTATAAAAAATCCTTAATACTTCCAGAAACTTTTGTTTAAATCAGTATAGGACACAGTGATGTCATAACTGGAACTCTTAAAGTGCCAAATGGGAACTGCTCTGTAACTAAACCCAAAGATTTCTAGACTTCTGTCTAAAAAACTTGCAAGTGTAAGATGTATTGCCCTTTACTTTCTCTCCACTGATGAGAACCAAGTGCCAGAGAAGCAGAAAGTTTGCCTGCCTACAAACTGCTCAGACACATTTAAACAAAACTAGAGCTTTTAGGGTCACATACCAGAACCTAGGGCAGGGCATCATTCCGTGTCTAGAACAAACACAGCCTATGAAGTACTTCACAGAGTGTCCCCAGAGGAAGGAAGTCCCACAGAGCCATGGCCTGGAGCCCCCCAGGCACTTACCCCTCTGCCTGTTGAACTGGCGCCCGCGGACCCCCGTGCGCAGCGTCGGGGGCTGCAGCCGCACCCGGCGCAGGGACTTGGGCTGGTTGCTGCTCGTGTCTGTGGAGAGGGGGGAATGCAGAAAGGAAGTCTGTGCCTGGCAGGTTCTCAATGTTTATGTGATTTGATAGGAGTTATGCTCTCTAATTTACTTTAGAATCATGAAGGCGCCTCCTTATTTCACTGACATGTCCTCCGATATAAATAAAAGCCTGAAGGCAAATAAGTTTGGCACTCCTTTTGTTACTTGTGTGTAAATGGGTAACTCACTGATTTACTTTACTTTTTTAATTGAAGGAAAAATAGCTTTAAAGCTGACATCAAACATACCAGTGGATAAACCAGCAAAGTATCAGTAACTTCTGCTCCCTGAAGCATTATTCTTACTCAGCCTACTCCAGCTACTGCGGGCCAGGGAAAACTGGTTTGCCAAAGCACAGAATTTACAGGCAGCAAAACATGATCCTGCTCTAAGAGAATTCAGGGAGACCTTACAACTCCTTCCAGTGCCTAAAGGGGCTCCAAGAGAGCTGGAGAGGGACTCTGGACAAGGGCCTGGAGGGACAGGACAAGGGGGAATGGCTTCCCAGTGCCAGAGGGCAGGGTTAGCTGGGATATTGGGAAGGAATTCTTGGCTGTGAGGGCAGTGAGGCCCTGGCACAGGTTGCCCAGAGAAGCTGTGGCTGCCCCATCCCTGGAATTGTCCTTGGAGCAACCTGGTCTTATGGAAGTGGTTCCTGCCCATGGGAACTGGATGGGCTTTAAGATCCCTTCCAAACCCAATCATTCCATGAGTCTGTGATTCAAAGAGTTTTCTCTTACTTTGTGTATCTTGGCTACCAGCCATGCTGCTGGACATAGAGGTTCCCACACTTAATGCAGTGGAATGAAACAGCTCTTCCCAACAGTTATTCTGTACCTGCAGATGAACTTGAAGGAGGATCCTGACTAGTTGAAGGAAGATCTGACTCATCAGATGCTTGAACAGATTCTTCTTCTTGCTGGCTATCAATTTCTAGACCTGCTTCTGAAGTAATGCTAGGAGAGAAGGAGGGGGAGGAAAACCATGGAAGTGTATTCACATTCTTTCAAAACGCTCAGGCAAAAAAGGCACCGACTTGGAACACAAAGATTCAATGAAACTCAAAAGTAAAATATGGCATAAAATGATAAACTATCCCCTTTTAGATCTGTAATGCATTTGATCATAATACAAAATACAGCAATTACTAGAAATATTAAAAACTGCACTCGTAAAATGGAAGACAAAACCATTTGTCTACGAAATTCATATTCCCCCCACGCTACATCTTTTGTACCTGCACTGTCTTAACTGACTTCATTACATATCTGTGCTTTGAATGAGGAGTGATTTGCTATATTAAACAGGAATGCTTTAGCCTTTATTCAGCAAACCCCCATCCTTCAACTTGGCCCTTTACCATCAGTTTTGACTACTGCAGATCCCTCTGCATTCTCTAAAAAATACAGAAATATATTTTTAAAGATTTTATTTTTGTGACTTTTATACGAGCTTTGTTAAACCAGGAGAAAATCAGAAGAAACCCTTTGTTTCTGAATGAAAAGGTCAGATTCTACTGCTTCAGAGCTTACTAAATCCTGTTTGAGCTGTCCTTCCTACCAGAACAGGTTAAACTGCCAGTGACTCACAGACACACCGGGATGAAAACAAATCATTAAATGTGCTAGTGAAGCAAATGAGTTGTATTTTACCCTTCAGATTCTGCCTCTGCAAACACTTCATCGCCATCGTCCCCAGCCCCAGGCTCTGTGGTGGTGGACAGGTTGCCAGTGGACGTGGTGACCATGGGCACGGACTGGGACGCGTGTTCCGAGGCGTCGGCCGAGGCGCTCTCCGTGAACACCGTCACTGCTCGGGGCAACAAACAGCCTGTCAGCCCCCATTCCCTGCACAGAATCCACGGAAACCACAGGCAGGGCAGGGCAAGGACTACTGGCATTTCATTATTTGCTGAGCAGTCGAGGTTTGCAGCCTTTACTTTGGTCTGCCAACCTCCTGCCACTCACCCGGTGCCGCTACTTGTAACGGGGTTGTGGGGACGCTCCGACCCCCAGATTCCTCCTCGTGAGCAAGGAACAGTGGGGTTTCATACATTCCTAAGCCTGCAACACAAAGGGTCAGTGACAATCATCAAAATAACCAGCTAAAACCCAGAATATAATTGATGTCTTCCCCCTGCTGAAATCCAGCAATTTGTCCTTACATACAGAGACTTTTATAATTTTATTGGCTTAATGTCAGAGCTGATTATATTTTATTGAAAGGTAAAAAACTTGATGAAAATATTACTGCTTGGTTTGTTTACTGTCATCCTTTTCTCATGCCATTATTTTGCATGAGCTTTCTTCAGGGAGCAGTGTATGTTCCATGTCAACAGGGAACAGGGGAAAGGGACTGAATCAGGACAGTAGAGACACATTGCTGGGACACTTTTCAGCAGGTGAGGATATATCCCAAAGATTTCTTTGGTTTTGCTGTTTGCCCCTATTTTTTTATGAGAGGAAAGCTACAACCAAAATTAAAGTTAAACCCCATTCCTGCAATATTTCATTTCATTTTAAAATCATAATACAAGCAGAAATTTTGCAGCTTGAAGGAAACTCCTTTTCACTTTCTGTTAAGTCTCCCTCTGCTTACAATTATTTAAGAATTGCAGGTTTCCACACTTTTAACTATTTCCCAAGTTAGAACTGTGGTGGTTTTTTTACTGAATTATTTCTTTTTCACTCCAAGACCCATGGCAAAGGAAGCACAGGGCTGGTTTACCTCCTTGGGATGCAAGCTGACCCAGATCAGAGTGACTGGAGCTAGTTTGTGGCATATCTTCAGGGGGTCCAAATCTGAACCGAGGAACTCCAGCCACCTGGGGGGAACTGTCAAAACAAAGATTTAAGGAATTCTGCAGCTTCCCCAATGATCAGGGCAGGGTGGGGGGGAAGACAACTTTCCAACCAAACCAAGAGAGCAAATTATACATGAGACAAAATGAATTCCTCCTGACCGTAAAAATCAGCTAAACTACTGCTAAATGAATAACAATCAGCTTCTTAAATGATTTGGAATGCATTCAAAATCAGTAGAACAGTCCTGAAGAGAATACTCTTTACATATCCATCCTCTGAATTCTCACAATTTTAACTGGATTCCTGAATGTGTCCAGAACATCCCAAAATAAAAAATGGGGTAACTTTTCCTACTTTTATTGGTAATATTAATGGGGGGGGGAAGACTGAGGAAGGAAATTAGATGGAACTTCTGTTTGTTTTATCTCTTCTTTAGTCAGTAAGTTACTGACTTAATACAGTTAATACACTGGACATTATCCACCTCCTAATTTGATGATCAGTTATATGACATACAGTTCAAACAATGATTTTCTATCATACTATTTAGCATTTTTTAGCCAATCACAAGTTCATTTAATTTGAATTTATTTTCATTCCACTGAAAAACAGAATAAGGAAAAGCCTTTTTTTTAATTTAATCTACTTACTGAATGGCTTCTGCAAATCCATCAGTACGATGTGGAACTACAAGAGTTGGTGTGCTTGGAACTGTTCTGTCCTCATCATCAAAGAAGTGCTGCTGCTGGAAGAAAAGAGACTGATATGAGAGCCTACAATGTATTTCCAATTTCTACCAGCTGAGTTAAAGGTTGATTCTTCCACACAGTCCAACAAAACAAAGACAGATTCAGCCCTAACAAAATTCTTGTCTAATTTCAGACATCTAAATAGTCCTTACAGTTGATAAAAAATACCCAAACCAAACCAAAATAAGCCCCATAAACTTGCAAGGCACCCATCTTTCCAAAGATTTTTTAGACATCTAT